AAGCCAGCAAAGAGATAGAGAAGAAGCAGCCAATGAAGCTCGAGAAAAGTAGATTGTGATTACCTGGCAGTCAAGGGAGAAACGTGTTCCATGAAAAACAGAGTGATCAGCCGAGTCAAATCTGCTGAAATGTTAATTAAATTGAAGATAAAATAGTGTGTTATTTGATCTGACTTATTTTCTGGAACAGCTGGTTTAGTTGCTATTCCCATGTAGTTTCACAGTTCCATATATATGTCCTATACATCATTAACCATACTTTATTGTAACTGTTTTAATTATCTGTGGCTCACATTAAACTGTAAACTCTGTGAGGACAGAAGTTGTGCCTGATTAGATTACTTTTTTAGAGCAATGTCTGGCATAGAGTAAATATTTCTTTTTATGGGTTGATGCTCAACCACTGAGCCACACCAGCCATAAATCTTAATAAAAATGTGCTCAATGATGATGAATGAATGAACCAAAAATGTATAAAAGGCCATTGACAACCACCATCCCTCCCAAATGAACAAATAGCATTACATAACTCCTTAGTGCTGGAAATTCATCAAAATTCAACAATTGAGGGCCCCAGATAATCATATTGGAGACAATGATGTTGGTCTTAATTCACAAAAATGGTATAAGAAAATGGAGAGAAAGGAGGGGTCATAAAAAAGTTGGACTTAAAAAACAACAACAAGCGAAACCGGTTTGGCTCAATGAATAGAGTATTGGCCTGTGGACTGAAGGGTCCCAGGTTTGATTCCAGTGAAGGGCATGTACCTTGGTTGCAGGCACATCCCCAGTAGGGAGTGTGCAGGAGACAGCTGATTGATGTTTCTCTCTCATCATTTTTTATTTTTTACAGAGAAGAAGGGAGAGGGATAGCGAGACGATGTTTCTAACTCGCTATCCCTCTCCCTTCTTCTCTGTAAAAAAAAATAAAAATAAAAAATATATATATATATATATATTTTTAAGTTGGAATTAAAACAAACTAGGACTTACATTAAAAGTAATCCATAGCATTGACCTATGAAACAGGATCTCATGGTTCCCAGTCAGGCACATACCTGGGTTGCAGGCTCAATCCCCATTGTGGGGTGTGCAGAAGGCAAGCCATTGACGTTTCTGTCTTTCCCTCTCCCTTCCTCTCTGATATCAATGAAAAAATATATTTTTGAAAAGTCCAAACTTATAACAACCACAAAATTGGTGGGTTTACTTTTCTTGTTTTACAGAAACTATTAGAGCTACACATTACCTTTCTGTGGCAACTTTTCCCATTTGATACTGTGCTAGATGTTCATAGTTAACTTGATTTCACCTGTATAATTATGCTTGGGGGTTTTTGGGTGGGGTAGGAGGTTGGGGGTAGGAGAGAGGCTTGCTTTTAGTACAAAGGAGTTATATCATGCCTCAACCCTCATCAAAAAGGAATCTTGCTATCAATTCACCAAGGAGTCCTCATATTTTTGCAATTTCTATGAAAGGAACTCAGAGCAGTGAACTCCTCTATCTGTGGAATCCTCTATCAAGTTTATACAGAACAATCATAGTTGATTCCACAGCTGATCTAAGTTCTTAAGAGCACAGAATCTATCCCAGAAGTAGCCTGAATGTCTTTCAATACTTGGACTCATGTAGGGTACTTGAATATATACTTATGCATTCAATTCCTATTGCTTCTGTAACAAATGATCACAAATCTATTCACTTAAAATAACACACATTTATTCTCTTCCAGTTCTGGCGGTCAGGAGTCAAAAATAAGTTTCACTAGGCAGAAATTCATGTTTTGGCAGGGCTGCACTCCCCCCAGAAACTTTAGGGGGAAATCTAATCCTTGTCTCTTCCAGCTTCTGGTGGCTGTCAGCATTCCTTGGCTTGTGTCTGCATCATTTAATTTCTGCCTGCATGGTCACATTGCTTTTTGTGTGTGTGTGTGTGTGTGTGTGTGTGTGTGTGTGTGATCTCCTTTTAATTTCTTCTTATGAGAATATTTGTGATCGCATGCAGGGGCCACCCAGATAATCCAAGATAATCTCCCTATATCAATATCATTCATTTAATCATATCAGAAAAGACCTTTTTCCTAATAAGTTAACATCTCTGGGCACCAGATGTAAGACTTGATATCTTTGGCAGGGGGAGCGGAGTGGGCATTATCAACCTGACACAACTTAAGTCTATATTTATGCACTCTGCTCAAAACTAGGCCAAACTGACATATTGCAACCCATGAACATTTGTTAAAAAAGATACTTAAAAAATGTTTTTATTGATTTCAGAGAGAGAAAGGGAGAAGAAGAGAAATATGAAAACATCGATTGGTTGACTCCTGTACAACCCCATACTGGGGATTGAGTGTGCAACCCACCCTGTCTAGAAATCAAACCAGCGACCTCTTGGTGCATGGAACAATGCTCCATCAACTGAGCTTCACCGAGAGGCACAATCTATGAACATTTGCAATACTTCCCTTAAATCCCAATGTAAGCTAAATCTGAAAGAATATTTTATCATTATTTTACAATGAAAAAGTTTAATTGTTTTTGATTCAGTGATAAGTGCAAAGTATAGCATGTAGATTCTATAAGAATCAAGCTATTAAATGATCTGGGATCCATATCATTTGAACAGTGGTTGAAAGAATTTACTAAAAGAGAAGGCTTAAAGGAGAATCACATAGCTTTTTTCATACGTATGGAGATATTTCATTAAGAACAGAGATTAGAAACCTAGTGTGTAAGTTGAGTTAGGAACAATTAATTATAGGTGGAGACAGATTCCAATGCAATATGAATAAGAATTCAGAAGGGATAGTAGAAGGTGTCCCTTCAAAACAAAGTCTCTTTCTAATTCTGAAAGTATTCATGACTATGCAGAGGCCCTGAAAGGAGGAATACAGATAGAAGTAGAGAATGTATCCTCCGATATCATCTTGAGGATATTAATAAAAGACATAATTACTCTAAATAAGTCTAAGTAATATTATCCTTCTCAATCCATTTTCAAAATTACAGTATAGTCAGAGTGATCTTTTAAAAGTCAAATATAATTGTCAGTCTCCTTGATTAAAACTCTTCATTTGCTAAAAGGCCCTCTCAGTATTGACCCCTGGCTTCTTTGCCTTCCTTATCTGATGTGTTTTTCCTTCCTCTCTGCATTCTTGTATTGCTTAACTTTAAATGCTTGTTCCTTCCTACCTAAAGGCTGTTGGACATACTGTTCTGCCTGCTTCAAACCTCTTCTCCCTTCTTGCCTAAGTTATTCCAGTTGTGTCCCCATATGAGTTTGCAAATTATTCTGGACCGCTTTATCAAGATGAAAGCAACGTATTGTTTAATTGACTGTGTCTACCTTCCCTGCTAAAATGTGTATCTTGTTCAGCACAGGGCCTGGGACATGGTGGATATCTTCAAATATTTGAATGAATGAATGCACTATCTGGTTTTAAGTGGAAAAGGAGTGTGTGTGTGTGTGTGTGTGTGTGTGTGTGTGTGTGTGTGTGTGTAGGGGAATGTTTACCTAACTGACACCAGATTTCCAGTTGCAAGTTTTCAGAAAGACCAGTATGGTTTCTTGAAAGAGTGTATTTCATGAAAGAAAGGGGAGGCAATGAAGAAAAATAAGCCATCACCAAGCACCCAAATATTTATGTGCTTGGCACTCTGAGTCAGAAATTCGAAAGTGGGCATGTCTTCTACAGTTCTTGTCCTTAACACATTTGCAGCCTGACAAGGGCAAACACTCGGCAAAGTAATTTCCATGAAGTGTGGCAAACACTGCTGAAGAAGGTGTATTTGTGTTATGAAATACCTAACCTGTGGGGCGGGGGAAGAAGAAGAGGAGAGGAAGGCCAGAGGGAGAAGGATGGGTGGTCTGGGAAGCCTTCCTGGTTTAAACTGAAAGTGAGGAGACTTGGCGGCCTGGGGAACTAAGAGAAATCCAATCGTTATGCTCTGGAGTCCCACAGAAAAATACTAAGATACTGAAGGGCACCTTGGCAGTTTGGCTTCCGGCGAGTTAGCTTTGTGAACATTCTCTGAGCGGGAACAACATCTGCCCTGGCCGGTTTTGCTCAGTGAATAGAGCGTTGGCCTGCGGACTGAAGGGTCCCGGGTTGGATTCAGGCCAGAGGCACATACCTGGATTATGGGCTGGATCCCCGGTAGGGGGTGTGTGCATGAGGCAGACAGTCAGTGATTCTCTTTCATCATTGATGTTTTATTCTCTCTCTCTCCCTTCCTCTCTGAAATCAGTAAAGAAATATTGGCTCAGTGGATAGAGCATCGGCCTGCGGACTCAAGGGTCCCAGGTTCGATTCCGGTCTAGGACTTGTACCTTGGTTGCGGGCATATCCCCAGTGGGGGGTATGCAGGAGGCAGCTGGTCCATGTTTCTTTCTCATCGATGTTTCTAGCTCTCCATCCCTCTCTTTTCCTCTCTGCAAAAAAATCAATAAAATATATATATATTTTTAAAAATATATTTTTTTAAAGAAGAACGACAACGTGCTGCACTTCAGCATTCCACCTAAGCCCATTCGCCGCTCCCCCAGTTCCCACGGAAGGCAAACTGGCGTGGCCCGCCGACAGCCGGGCTCTGCACAGACAGCACCTCAGCCCTCCCTCCCCCGCCGGCCCCGCCCACCCCGGGAGGCGGCCAGAAGCCCCGCCCACCCCGGCGCTTCCTCCTGGGACCCAGTTCTGGCGCCGCCCGCGGCCGCGCGGTCACGTGACCCGCGGTGTGACGTAGGAGGAAGGAGACGCCATTAGAGGGAGGCGGAGAGGGAGCGCTCTTCTCCTTGCGTCTGGTGCCTGACGTGGTGGCTGGGGGCCCTTCATTCCCGGACTTTCCCTCGGCCCCTCCAGGCCTCGCCGCAGGAGACGGGCTAGGAGACGGCGCCCGGGGCGGGCCGGGGCGGAGGGGCCTGCGGCCCGGGGCTGTGAGGGCGCCGCGGCGGCGGAGCTCGGCGCTGCTCTAGGGCCCGGGGGCCGGGGAGCGGACGGGATGGCCGCGGCCGGCGGCGGGGCGGCGGCGGGCCGAGCCTACTCGTTCAAGGTGGTGCTGCTGGGGGAAGGCTGCGTGGGGAAGACGTCGCTGGTGCTGCGCTACTGCGAGAACAAGTTCAACGACAAGCACATCACCACGCTGCAGGTGCGGCCCGGGGGCGGGGGCGGCGCGGGGCCCCGGGGACTCGGCCGCTGCGGGCTCTCCGGGTGCGGGGCTCACGGATCTCAGGCCTGTCCCCTCCGCCTCGGAATGGCCCTCTCGAATTCGCCCTGGGGGGAGGGGGGGCGCCCGGGGTCCTGGCAGCCCGCAGACTGGAAGCTACAGGCTGTGGGGAGGGGCGGGGAAGGGCCCTGAAAAGTCCCCAGCGACCTACCCGGCTGCGCAGGTGGTGGAGTCCCCATCCTGGGGCTAGTTTTTCCCCTTTCGCTTTACTTCCGCTTGTTGGGCCCCTTAGGTGCCTTCACGTTTGGTCAGGGACACCAAATGTCACCCCCGCCTTTTTTTTGTTGTTCCTTTCGGAATTTGTTAATTTCGGAATCAGGAATGTCGCCGCGGGTTTGATTTTGCGAACGAGGTGGTGACTTGTAACGTCAGCCGCTTACTAATGACTAAGTGTTTATGCAAGTTCAATTGTGTCCTGTCTGCAAGAAAGGTGCTGATGGGCAAAACTGTCATCTCTGGAGGGGTTTTGAAAGGACCGGTGTGGGTTCAGCAGCTCCATTACCGCCTGCGTGGTTGTGACCGGTGGGGTCAGCCGTATTCTGCGAGGGCGACCCACACTCACATGGAAACGTCCTGCGAATACTGTCTTGTTTTCTTTGTTTCTGATGGAGAGAGCCGGCTTTCTTCTGTAGTTACATTGTGGTTTCTCAGAAGAGTGTTAGAATGTAACCATGGATTGGGAGGGAAACCAGTCCTTTGAGGCAGTTGTAGTCTGCCTCTCTCTCCCCCAAAGAAACCAACCAGGCTGCACGTGTTAGGGGAAAAAAAATAAATTTAAAAAAATCCAACTAATCTGACTTGATCAATGTAGTCAGAGGCAATAAACGCTAGCGAACTTTTGAGCCTCCATCCATTTAACTAGTTGTGTGATCTTGGGCAAGTTAAGTTAATCTATCTTGGCCTAAGTTTCTTCATCTTTTAAAGTGGCCATAATTAGGTATCTATCTAGTTCACAGAGTTGTCGGGACAAATACATCTAAAAGCGATTAGGACCTGGTCTTAGTGTAAGTTCTTCATCATTTTTACTGCCCCAGATTGCACAATAGGTCTTAATTAATGATTATGGAGTGTGTAAGAACATGACACTATTAATAGAATTCACAATGTTCTTATTGTTGTGACATTTGATGCTTGATTCTATTATTAAAGTACCGAGTCTAGAATTTACAAATATGTTCCAGTTCTAATTCCAGTTCTATTTTTATTCCTGTGTAAAGCATAATATCTGAAAAAGTTAATGTCAGGAAACTCCTTTTTCCTTACATCCTTGTACAAGACGACTTACATAATTTTAATAGTGGATTGTTATTTTTGAGTGCTACTAGTGAGATTTGTAGGGTAAACTTGAAAGTTTAGAAAATCATTTAGGTAAAATAGCAATAGCTAATATTAAGATTTGGTGTGTTTTTTTCATCAGGCCTATGAGCTGGATAGTTGTTTTGTTTTTTAAATATATATTTAATGATTTCAGAGAGGAAAAGAGAGGGAGAGAGAGATAGAAACATCAATGATGAGAGAGAATCATTGATGGGCTACCTCCTGCAAGCCCCTTTCTGGGGATTGAGCCCACAACCTGGTCATTTCCCCTTGAATGGAATTGAATCCAGGACCTTTCAGTCCGCAGGCTGACCTTCTATCCACTGACCCAAACTGGCTAGGGCTGAGGTGGGTAGTTTTGTTAGCCCCATTTTACAGGTGAGGAAACAGGCTTGATTAAGTTGAGTAATTTGCTAGTCATTACATTGCCACAAATCATGCTGCCCAAGTTGAAATTTGAACCCAGGTCTGATTTCAGATTTTCAGATTTTGAGCAATTAAGTCACACTGCCTCTGGATATTGGTAAACCACCCCTTTAGTGCTAAGAGAAAAGAGAAAACCATTGCAATTGTGCTCTCAATTTTTATTTATTTTTTAAAATATATTTTTATTGATTTTGGAGAAGAAGGGAGAGGGAGAGATAGAAACATCAATAATGAAAGAGAATTATTGATCGATTTCCTCCTTCATGCCCCGCAGTGAGGACCGAGCCCAAACCCAGGGCATGTGCCCTGACCAGAATCAAACCAGGACCTCCGGCCGGCTTAGCTCTCAATTAAAAAAAAAAAAAAAAAAAAAAAAAAAAAGATGCCCTAGCTGGTATGGCTCAATGGATAGAATGTCGGCAAAGGGACTGGAGGAAGTTGGATTCCAGTCAACTTATTGATGTTTCTATCTTCTCCTCTCCCTTCCTCTGAAATCAAAAATATATTTTAAAAAACATAATTTAGCCCTTCCACCTAAAACTTACACTTTCCTTATACATTCAAAAAACACCATCAAAGCTAAAAGCAGGCTAGAGATTTTTAAATATCTGAGAAAAAACACTGCTGGAGACTGTCCATAGGAGGTCCACTCACATCCAACTCAACTCCAGGAAGAGCCCCTGCCCATGTCTAAGCACATTCTCCTTACCAAATCCCAGGAATCTACACTGTCCTGTGCAATCTACGCAGGAGGGGATGAAATTATGGTAGATCTCCAGTATCAAAGCATAGCAGTCCTGATTTCGGTGTTTATATAACTCTCATTACAATATCTGGATTATATTATTGAATTGAGGATTTTGTTGTATTCCAATGTATGGAAACAGAATTATACCTATTCTCTTAGATATCAATTCATCTCATCTGATTCTAATAATGTTTTTCAGAGAAATTTGACTTCAGTGTGATCCATAAAACACATCCTTGTAAGCTTTTAATTTCGTAATGGAGAGGCCATGCATCAGTAGATATGATAGGAAGTTTCCCTTTTATCTTGTAAACAAAAACAACGTACTACCTATCTTTGTAAAATACTTGTTTTGAAAAGTACACTCTCATGCATTCATATTTCAAAGAATTATTGGACTGAGGAATCTAAGATAATTTATGGTTCTCTGTTTCAGTCTCTTATCTAATATTTCAGTCAACTGATTGTCTACTTTTGTCTTGAAGGAGTGATAAACTGACATAGAAAGTGTAAAACTATGTCCAGAGGTGACCTGTTTCATTTTTAGATAGGTCTAATTTCCAATAAGTTTTTCCCTGTGTAAAGTCAAAATCTGTTTCCCTGTAGTTTACAGTCCTAGTGCTGCTACTGCATCTTGGTAGCACAGGACATCCCTTTTGATAGTTAAAGATAGCTGTCACATCTTGAGTCTTGTCATCTTTTGAATAAACAGCTCAGGTTCCTTTAACTGGATTTTCTGTGATATTCTAAATCATTTCACTATTTTTTTGGAGAATTTTAATGAATTTATTTTAGTCAAACTGGCAACATGTACCAGGGAGCAAGATCTCAAATGCTTCTCATTTCACTATTTTGACAACTTTTCTAGACTCTCACTATGTATTTATTCGTTGTCCTTTTTATTTTTATTTTTTTATTGATTTCAGAGAGGAAGGAGAGAGAGAGAGAGAGAGAGAGAGAGAGAGAGAGAGAGAGAGAGAGAGAGAGAGATTGATTGATTGGCTGCCTCCTGCACACCGCACACTAGGGATCAAGCCTGCAATCTGGGCATGTGCCCTGACCAGGAATCAAAGTTAAAATGAGTAATTAATTCAGACGATAGGGACCATGCCTTATTCTTTACATGCCCTCCTGGTTCATAGGTTGACGCTCAACCACTGAACCATGCTGCTGGCTGGGCTGCCCTCTTTTCTTTAAAATGTGATGCCTTGAGCTGCAGAAATGATTGCAGTGGTGGTTTCTTTTTATTTTTTTTAATTTTATTTTATATATATTTTAAACATATTTTATTGATTTTTGACAGAGAGGAAGAGAGAGGGATAGAGAGTTAGAAACATCAATGAGAGAGAATCATTGATCAGCTGCCTCTTGCACACCCCCCACTGGGGATGGGCCTGCAACCAAGGTACATGCCCTTGACCAGAATCGAACCTGGGACTCTTCAGTCTGCAGACCGGTGCTCTATCCACTGAGCCAAACCGGTTTCGGCTGCAGTGGTGGTTTGAACTGAGCAGAATAGTGCAGGCTATCACCTCCCCTGCTCAGAATCCTTTTCTAATACTGAAGTAGAAAGATTCTATCTTTTTGTCACACCAGAAATTATTGGGCTTGCTATTTTAGTCTTATTTACTTAAAAAAGTATTACCAGTACATTCCTTAAATTATATTTTCTTGGATTTTGTAGTTGCTTTTTGTCCCTAATGTATTTGACCCATTAAATTTGATTGTGATAGATTTGTGTCAGTAATTAAAACCTCTCATGTTCTTTCAATTTTTATTCTATAGTTCAAAAACATTGATTTTGGGGTCAGGCAGTTGGTTGAGTCCTGGGCATGTAAAGAAGAATAAGGCAAGGTCCCTATTGTCTGCATTAGCTATACTCATTTTAACTTTGACACCCAAAGATTTTTCTTTAATTTCTGGCCAGGTCATTCATTAATAAAGACTTTGAAAGGCCGGAGAGAGGGCCAAGTGCAGACCTCTGCAGCAGGTCTCACTGTAGTCCAGTGATGCGTCACTAGAGGTGTAGTTTTCTTTAGACTTTCAGAAGCTTAGGGTGGGGCTTTCTTAGGCCATGCATGGCCCATAGTCTTTTTTTCCCTTGAGTGAGAAATACTAATGGAATGTTGTACATATTAATGATAATGGAAGCAAAAGACAACTTAAGACTTGGGCTACTACCTACTGGATATAAAACCTTTAGAACAAAATGGTTGTTCCAAGCATTATAGATCTAGCTTTTTTGCCCTGGCTACATTAGTCTTGCCCCAGGGGATCACGAGATGCTTCGCCAAATTCTTGCAGAAGACAAGATACACTGTGTTTCTGCATTAGGAGGCCATATGTTGTGATAAAAACGTATGGCCTCCTGTTGGGACTTTGGTTTGAATTTTGGCTTCTACTTAGCCACCATGATCTCGGTTATTCTAAA